CTTCCATGAAAAGTGTTGAAGCTGTGGGTGGCCTGCTCATCCCAAGACGACCTACACCTGTTTTTCTTGCCTCATTTTTTTGCAAATGTAACATGGCCTGGGTCCCTCAGCAGTAGGACAGCGCAACCTGTAGATGGACCAGTGAAGCTTTGTCTAGCTTAGGCTGGATCTGAAGAGCAGCATCAGTAGAGTAGAAGTCTCTTCCAGTTTGCTTTGCCCTTCTCAACCTGAATACCTTTTCTGACCAAGGAGAAGCAAAATCTACATGGTTTAATAGTGGTCATTAACAGTTGAGTTTTACTTCTTGGAGCTGGTAATCCTTTTGGCAAGACTTCTCTTTGCCTCAAAAAGTGCTTCCGTGAACTTTGAAAAAAAAAAAAGAATAAAACCAAAGGATCCACTAATCCTATTTTTCGTATAATGACTGTTTATTTTCTTTTTCTTTCTTTTTTTTTATTGAGACGAGGTTTGCTCTGTACCCGGCTGGAGTGCAGTGGCCATCGATCAAGCTCATCTGCAAGCCTCTAACTGCCTCGGGGTTTGGCGCAATCCTCTCCAGCCGTCAGCCTCTCCAGAGAGTAGCTGGGGACAATACAGGTGCGCGCCACCTTCGCCCGGGCTGTAGTTGTTTTTTGTAATATGTTGAGTAGAGACGGAGGTTTCCACCGTGTTAGCCAGGATGTCGTCGATCTCCTGACCTCGTGACCGCCGGCCTCGGCCTCCCAAAGTGCTGGGATTACAGGCTTGGGCCACCGCGGCCCGGCGCCAGGCGTAGTGGCACATGCTTGTAACCGCAGCTACTTGGGAGGCTGAGGCAGGAGAATCACTTGAACCTAGGAGGTGGAGGTTGCAATGAGCCGAGATCGCGCCACTGCACTCCAGCCTGGGCCACAGAGTGAAGAAAAAAAAAAAAAAATTAAAATTAAAAAAACTTCACAAACCAAAAACCAAAACCTCCAAACACTTCTCTCTGCCTTCCCAAACAGGCATCAGATAGATATACATAGGCAGGGCACAAATACACAACAAACATATTTTTTAAAAGTCACAAAATGTCCAAATAAATGCAAATAAAAATAAGAAGGTGTGGTAGGGTGTAGGAGAAAGCCATTGTCTCATATTACTTTTAGGAGTGCAAATTGTTGGAATTACTTCTGAGGAATATTTTGGTAACACGAATCAAAAGCTTTTTAAGGACGCATACTTTTATCTGAAGGAAATAATTGGACAGGTGTGTAAAATGGATGTAGGCCATGTTTATGCAACTTTATCTGTAGCAACAACAACAACAAAAAGGAAAAACTTCCTTAAAAAACAGAGGAGCAGTTAAACAAATTATGGCCTATTCAACTGATGGAATACTAGTAGCTGTTAAAATGATTATCTAAATTTCAGTTGATTAACACTAAAATGTGCTCATAGCATAATCGTAAGTAAAAACGGCACAAAACGTATCTGCAGTGTTGTATGTAGGTGAGTGTGCTCATGTCTCCCTAAGAAAGTCAGGAAGGACATATGCTAATATGAAAATACCAATACTTTTTTTTTTTTCTTTCTGGGTGATATCTATGAGTAATCATTACCTCTTCATTGTTTTCCATATTGTAAAATAGTCTGTAATGACTGTACGTGACTGCTACATTTTGCTTTTGGACCTTAGGTGCAAATAATTAAGAATTAACTCCTTGGCCAAGCGTGGTGGCTCATACCCATTATGCCAGCACTTTGGGAGGCTGAGGTGGGAGGATGGCTTGAGTCTAGGAATTTGAAACCAGCCTGGGCAACATAGCAAAACCTCATCTCTACAAAAAAATACGAAAAGTTACCCAGGCGTGGTGGCATGTGCTTATAGTCCTGGCTACTCGGGAGGCTGAGGTGGGGAGGATTGCTTGAGCCTGGGAGGTGGAGGCTGCAGTGAACTGTAATCATGCCACTGCACTCCAGCCTGGGCAATGGAGTGAGACTCTATCTCCAAAAACAACAACAACAACAACAAAAAACAAAGAACAAACAATAAAGTTTGTACAAGGGCAGCAAGTGAAGACCTTTACCTAGAAGTCTGTAAGAACAGTAGGGGGATGTCAGATGCCAGGCCATGCCACTGTCCAGGAACCAAATGCAAATTGTTCACCTTCTCACTTGGCATGAGGGGCAGTGATAGGAATATTGGTTAGTTTGTTTGTCCTTGGAATATTTATTTGGGTTATAACTCTCAGCGAGATTCCAACTACTGGACTTATAGGCTTCGAATAGTGCATCACTAAGAGTGGTCACTAACGAATGTGAAACCAACCAAAAGAAACCACCATCTTGGCATGCATCTGTGTGTTAGTTTCCTTTAGTGCCACTATAAAGTACCAACAACTAGGTGGCTTAAACAACAGAAATGTATTGTCTTGCAGTTCTGGAGGTCAGAAATCCAAAATCAAGGTGTTGGCAGGGTTGGTTTCCTCTCATGGCCGTAAGACAGAATCTGTTCCATGCTTCTTTGTCAGCTTCTGGTAGCCTCGGGTGCGCGGTGGTTTGTAGATGGCCACCTTCTCCTGGTGTCTTCATGTTGTCTTCGTATGTGTTTGTCTCCGTCCAAATTTCTCCTTTTTTTTTGGAGACGGAGTCTTGCTCTGTCGCCCGGGCTGGAGTGCAGTGGCCGGATCTCAGCTCACTGCAAGCTCCGCCTCCCGGGTTCATGCCATTCTCCTGCCTCAGCCTCCAAGTAGCTGGGACTACAGGCGCCCGCCACCTCACCCGGCTAGTTTTTTGTATTTTTTTAGTAGAGACAGAGTTTCACCGTGTTAGCCCGGATGGTCTCGATCTCTTGACTTCGTGATCCGCCCATCTCGGCCTCCCAAAGCGCTGGGATTACAGGCTTGAGCCACTGCACCCGGCCCAAATTTCTCCTTTTTATAAGGACAGCAGTCATTTTGGATTACGGTTCACTCTAGAGACCCAACTCGATATCCTCTGTGAAGACTCTACCTCCACATAATCTTGAATCATCTTGGTGTGTTGGAAAGAACATGGGCTTTGCAATTATACTTGTGTTTGAATCCTGGCTTCACCACTTACTGGTGAGTGGTGACTGCCTTGAGAAAAGTCATGTAATTATTCAGGACTTGTTTTCTCATCCCTATAGTGGGGATGCAACGTTGCTGTGAGGATTAGAGATACTCTAGAACGTGCTGGATAAGTGGAGGCTGTAACCACCTATAAGCTGAGGGCCTTTGCTTTTCAAGGTGAAAAGTCTATGAATAAATACACCTGTAAGAGAATCTAATGGGGAGATTCTTGGATGACAGGGATTTCATCTGTGAACCAGGTCAGCTGGCATCTGTAGCAGAGTCCTTCTGGCCTACATGTGGTCACTTGTTTGGAGCCAGCTGTAATTTACAGGTTACGTTTTTAGGCGAAGCCTGTGTAAAACCATTTTATAGCATTCCAACCTGGATATGACATTCACTGACCAATGTTGTCCGAGGCTGTCACACTGGGGAAAAAGGGGGTGCAGATTTCGAGATACGAAGACCAGCGATGCCTTCTATTCCCACACGTTTATAATCTCAAGATTCTGCCCTACTCCGATGATCTGCTGGGTTGATTTGAACTGAAGACAAGGACACATATCTTGAGACACTGTCATATTCTGCTCCGGTTACCTAAGAAGATTAACTACGCCAAGTTTCTTCCATTACTAGGAATAAAACTTTGAGTCAAATTTAATTTAGTACTAAAGGTTGCAAATGCTGACGTGCTCTGATAGAAGCGAAAGCTTGGTCAACGGGGTGGGATGGGGTGGGGGCAGGAAGGAGAGACCCGGCAGCAGAGAGGAAGGAGTTGGTTGTATAGGTGGAAGTTTGAGCTTGGGAGGAACCAGGTAGCGACCTCTCCTCTGAATAAGGGGCGCTCTGGGCCACTTCCTCTTTCTTCAAAACAATTAAGTTGACCGTGGACTTTAATCACATTAGCAGGGCAATTTTGAAACAATAATCCGAAAGAACTTTTGCCCGTTACGGCAACTTTTTTTTTATATTATGGAGCTCAGTCTGAAAGCAAGCTATTTGCCCGATTACTTTTTGACCAATTTATTTTCGGTTTAGTCAGGTTTCTTTCCAAGTCTGTGCTAATCTGAATGGCTACCTTAGTAATTACTTTTTGACCAATTTATTTTCGGTTTAGTCGGATTTCTTTCCAAGTCTGTGCTAATCTGAATGGTTACCTTAGTATATCAATGTCCTAGTAACTGTAGCAAGGACATTTTTGCTGGAAATCATTTAAAGCAGGTGTCTTTGAGTCATGTAGCATACACAGCGGTATTTACTGCTAGTTTTTTACACCTAATATCGTTTATAAAATTTTATCTGTTGCTACTATATTTGTGAGGTTTATGAAAAAAATTGGTTATGAACACTATCACAAGGAGGCAAAATCAAGCTTAGAAATCAATTAGTGACTCTGCTGTAAAATAGTACACACACACACTTTTTTGAGCTATACATTTATTAAATGCCATTAGAGCTGGTACAAAATACAATTTTTAGCTGGTGGCTCTATGCCGGTTACAACGCAGCCAGCATGGCATACTTGGGTTTTCAAGCCTCAGGAGCTCACCCAGCAATACATAGGCAGGCAGAAAGGGTAGACAGAATAAAAATCAGCGAAAGCCAGGATATTAATAAAGAGTTTTGATGGTTAAGGACAAGTAGGCAAATTAAGACGCTGGAAACCGAGGAGCTGCACAGAAAAGAAAACCAGGGAGCTGGACGACAAGGACACAGTAACAGCACAAGGGGATTTATCTAAGGGGCATTCCGATGGAGCAGGCAGGCTGCGCCCAGAAAGGTGGGGAGGGGTTGGAAGCAGATGGGCAGGGACGGGCGAGCGTGCACAGCCTGAAAAAGTTTTCATGATGGCTCCAGCCTAATTTCCCAACGCTGGTCTCGGGCGCCACAAAACCCGAGCGGCCCGACCGGAGCCGGGTGCCAGCCTCAGGGCCGCCGGGGCCCGGCGCAGCGTCCGGAATTCCTGCGATGTCTGGGGCCCGGCGGCGGCTCCTCCCCGCCCCCACCGCAGCCTCCGCCGGCATTTTCCGGCGAGGAGGCCCGCGAGCCCTTCGAAGAACCGGCTCCACGCGCGGCCGGCCGCGGCCGGCGCGCTTCCCGGGGAGAAAGGCGAGCGCGGCGTCCGGACCGCGGTGAGAGCCCTCCAGGCCCGGGCGTGCGGGGTGGCTCCGGTCTGCCGAGGCCGGCGCGCCCGGAAACCCCTCCCGCCCCGCCCCCGCCGGCAGCCCCCCTCCCCCGGCGCGGCGGCTGCGGGCGCAACGCGGAAGCGCCGGGCGCTAGGCTGCGGGCGGCGGCGCGGAGGCCAGCTGAGGTCGCCGGCCGCGCAGTCAGCGGCGGGCGGGCAGGCGGGGCGGAGGGCGCGCTCGCGAACAGGTGCCTGGCGCCGCCTCGCCCCTTCCCCAGTCCCTACCCTCTCTCGGCCTAGCCGTCCCCCTCCTCTCCCCTCCCCCGGGCGAATCACGCGCCCTCCTCTGACACTCGTAGCGGGCCCAAGCTCCGAATTTATCCTTCACGTGACCTGAGGGGGTTGGGTGGTTGGCTGGGGACGGAGGGGGAGACGGAAAGGAGGGAACGGAATCTGCCGTTACCTGAGCAACAGGCCCCGCCCGCCGGATCGGGGCCGGGGGGCGGGAGGAGGACGTCAGCACGTCAGCCGGGGTTTTGCGTTTTGATTGACAGTTGCTATAGCGACCGGGTCGGTCCGTCGCCATTTTGTTGGTTGGTTTTTTTTTAAACCCTTTCGCTTCCCGCCCGAATAATAATAAAAAGCCCCATTGGAGTGAGGCGGGGGTGGCGGCGGCAACCGCGGCGGGGGTATCCGGGGAGACTGCTGCCGTCGCTGCTGCTGATCGCGGCCCAGGTCGGGCTCAGGGAGCGGACACCCCGAGCGGGGGGTGCGGGCGCCGCCGCCGCCGCTTCTGCTGCTGCTGTTCCTGCTGCTGCTGTTGGTGCCGCTGCCGCCGCCGGCGAGCGGGCGGGACCGGTGTGAGTGCGAGTGTGTGCGAGGGAGCGTGTGCGAGGGCGAGTGTGCGCGCGAGTGTGCGGGTGTGTGCAAGTGTCTGTCTGTCTGTCTGTGCGGGGACTCGGGGGCGGGCGGTTCGGGCTCTCCTGGCGGAGGAGCCGCCGCCGCCGCCGCCGCCCGGGCCCCGGCGCTTCTCGCTGCGCAGGTTCGGAGCGCGCGCCATTTTGTGAGATTTACAAAATCCTCCTCGGGAAGAAGCCGCCGGCAGCAGCCGCCGCTCGGCGCCCGGCCTCGCCGCCGCCGCCCTCTGTGCCGGGCCGGGCCGCGCGGCCCCGCCGCCGGGAATCGGGGCCCGGGGACTGCGGTATTTGCCGGGGAGGGGGCTGTCGCCTCCCCGGCCCCGGGCGCCGCTGGAACCGCGAGCCGAGGAGAGACTGAGCAGGCTGCGGCGCGGCCAGGAGCCGGAGCGCCGGGGGCGGAGAGAGGCTGCCGGGGCGGCGCTGGCTGCGGAGGCCGCGGCGGGAGCGGGAGCGCGAGCGCGGCGCGGGAGCCCGAGGCTGAGACTCACCGGAGGAAGCGGCGCGAGCGCCCCGCCATCGTCCCGGTGAGTGTCCGGCCCGGCCGCGGCCCCGCCCGGCCCGGCGCTCGGCTACCCCGGCGGCCCGCAGCCGGGCCCGAGCCGAGGCCGGCCGGGCGGAGGGAGGGACCTGCCATTTTAGGAGGAGGCGCCGTGGGCCCTGGGCCGGCCGCCGGGGGAGGGAGCCTCAGGCCCGGTCCCAAAGGAGCGGCGGGCGCGAGCGGAGGGAAAGTTGCGGAGGGTGGGAGCGGGGGCCGCGGCCTCCCGGGAGCCGGGGCCTGGGGGGCCGTAGACAGCGCCAGACCTTCACTGGCCGCCCGAGCGAAGGGGTGGAGGTTGTCTTCCTCCTCCTCTTCCTCCTCATCTTCTTCCCCCAGCTCCTCCCTCGTCCCTCCTCTCGGTCCCCACCAGTGTGGGATCCGCCGGGGTGCTTCGCAAGGACAATGCACGGGTTAAGAAAATGGGGCCGGCTGGGCGAGGACGGCGGGGCCGGGCCGGGCGCCGGGGAAGGTCGGGAGCCGCTGCCTCGGCGGCCCTGGGGGTCCGCGCCTGAGCGAGGGGCACTCACTGGTCTCCGATGTTGGGCGGGGAGCGCGAGTGTCCCCGGCGGCTCGGGGTGGAGGGATGACCTGCCCGGCAGCCGGGGGAGTTGGTGGCTGAGGAGAGGTGAATTAGAATGGATACCTGTGTATCGCCACAAAACTTCACGAGTCTATTTATAGGCACAAACCCACTCTCGCTTCGGAGCCACTGAAGCTGCTGAGCACTTCAGCTCTTGGCGAAAGGCTCCTCCCTAATCTGAAATAGTTAAAAATGGTAAAATTAGTGAGTCAGTGACTTCGGTTCCTTGCCTGTGCCTTTAGCCCAACCCTAGGTGACACGAATCCCGTAATCTAGGCGCAGCGCAGGAATGCCAGCACCATTTGGTTCTTGAATTCCGCCCAAATTGTCAGAAAATACGCCTTAGAATATGGTTTTCACAAGTGCCAGGCGCTGATCTCAGGGTTTTCCGTGGAGCGACCAGCTTGCCCAGCCGGTAGGAGCTGTTCCCATTTTACAGATGAGGAGACTGAGCCTGGAGAAGGGGCACTGACTGATCTGAGGTAATACAGCTGGGACTCCAGGAGCCGGGAAGCTGTAGCCAGTCTGGACTTGTGAATCACTAGGGTGTAACTTATTATTATAAATACTGGCAAATTTTGGAGTGATTCGTGTGTAATGACTCAGGGTTCTAACCTAGAGATTGTGTCCCCGTATGGTTTTTAGCATGGAATTAATAACCTTTGTGGCTTGCCGAGGCCGAAAGGTAAGGTAATGGTAATGAGCCCTCTTAATGAAACTTTTCTGTCCTTTTTTTCCCCCCAAGAAAACTATGTAGTCAATTTTTGAATGAAAGGAATTAAAAAATACTCCTTGGTGTGTTTTGTACTTCAAACTTAATTTTGATTAAAATCATCTTCTGAGTATTGATGAGTCATAAGAAAGTTTTGTGTGAAGTTATTTTTAGTTATTTTATTCTTTGCTTAAGAGCCTCTGTGACCCTTTTATACTTTGTGTCCAAAGTTAATATATTTAGCATTTTGATTTTGAGGTGTTTTAATAATTCAGTGGCATTACCTTTAGTTTTTGTTTTCTTAAATTTCTCGTATCTTGATCAGTTACTTTAGGAGAATATGGTTTTCAAGTAGACTTTTAAAAATGTGAGCCTAGAACTAAAGTTTCATGTGCTAAGGTTTTAAACTGCAAAAGATCATTTCAAAGCAACTGGTTATGAAAAAAGCTTACTTGATTGTAGTTAAGATTTTTTACGTATACTTCAAGTATCCCAGTACTTTTGGAGCATTTTCCCTGGTATAGCAGTGGTGTTTATGGTAGCTGTCCAAATTTATTTAAGACTTCAAACCATGCTAGAAAGTTAAGGACTCCTGTCAATGTCTACACCTAGTTCTCTTGTAAGACTAGTTGTAAACATTTCATTTTTACCTCAAGACCTCAGAGATCATTAAAGGAGGAAGGATCACCCCTTGTGTTTGCACCACGAAGGCACACTCCTTTTTACCTGGTGGGTGTTGAAGAAAGGTTTGAAGGAATAGACTTGAATGAATGGTAATTATTGGTAGGGATGAGAAATGGACCAGATGACCTAGTGAGATCTTTTGTTATTGTTAGGAATTTGAGATCTAAGTGTAGGATCATCTGTTAAACCTTTTAACGATATTTTGGTGGAACCTATTAGAAACTTAACGCATTATTGTGTACAAGAGATTTAACAATAAGTCCAGTTTTTTAGAGGCACTAACATTTAAGATAATGTAAAACATTCCATATTAGTGCAATGTCTTGTTAGGGAATGTGGACAGTAAAACCGGCCATTTGTTAAAAGTTTTTTTCCCCTCTAAAATATTGTCTGATGTTTGCTCCTCGGTGTTATTTATGGAGAGTTACTATTATGGAGAGTTATTGTTTATGACTTAAAGATATGGAGGTGGAGAGGCCTAGGTAACTGCAACAATGTATTTAAGTAATTTACTTTAGGTTTTTAGAGTGCTATGAATGTTTATCTGCAAAAGGAAAATTCAAGATACCTTGTTATAAACATGGTATACAGTGACCTTTGGCATGCATTTTGTTTTGTAACTACACAAAGTGTTAATTTGGATTGAATCTTGGTTTTCACTTGAAAACCATTTTTTTTTTTAAAGAAATAGCTTAGAAATTTAGACTGCCTGGGGTGTTTTCGTGTGTCTGTTTATGGTTGACAGGTATCTAGTTACCAGAAGAAAATGTGGATAGAATTAACTGTACTATAGGCGAGAAGGGAATTGCCTTCTATATGCCACTAAACACAAGATTAGAATAAGAGTGGACTTCACTTGTGACTTTCTTGGTATTTGTGATTAGGTGTGTGCCAGTTTGTCTTTGCTTTGGCAATAACTTTCCTCGTATTTCAGAGGGCTTTCACATTTCCCATACCCATACAGGAAACAGTTTCACCCCTCTCCAAGAAAAAACTTAACCTAACCCCAGCAAAACCCAAAAACTTCAGAAAGTCTTTATCAAGAACTTAGTTCCTCATCTGCAAAATTGTATTAATCTTATTTTGTAGTAATCATAAGCAGTTATTTAACTGAACTAAGAATCTTTACTTTCTGTTGAGTGTTTTGGTGATTTTACTTCCATATATGTTCGTCTATTTTCTATTTTAAGTAAAGATGTTACTTGAAACTATTAGTTATGTTTCCTGAAACTTGATACTAACAGTTTGCCCTGTGAAAGTGAATTACGTGACCAGTATAATAGCATCTTATGTATATATAGTAGTTTCGCCTTTTAAAATACTTTTTACCGGATGGTATCTTGACTGTTGGGCAATTTTCTGATGGCTAGAGAAGTGGTAATTTATAACCCAAAGCTTGTTCAACTTTGGATTAAAAAGTTTGGAGAGTTAAAATTTGTGTTTAATTACTTCGAAAAATCAGCAAATTATGCTCCCAAATGAAGATAGCGTTTTGAAATCTTGCTTTATGTCAGTGCTACAGTGTTAAGCTAGAGTTGTAAAGTTTACCATAGAGTGAAAGTGAAATGTAGACCTCATGTGACTAAAATAATAATTGAAGGTTCATACTGGGTAATTGAAGACAGATTTTATTTCTTAATGTTCTGGCTACAAGCAGCCTTAGTTTGATTTTTTTTTTTTTTTTTGTATATGAAAACAAAATGATTTGGAAATACTGCATTGTATAAGCCAGCTAGGTGTTTAAAAAGTTAAGCTTTTGCTTTGGAATCCTACTACCAGAGTACTAAAACGAGTGAGAATTGTTTATTGGAGATAATACCCTCTATTGAACACCTGAAGTGGTATGGTTTCTCCTGGGCATATGTTTTGCTAATGCAGAACCATTTTGGTGTCTTGGCAATTGTTTTTTCTAACGGAGCTATGTATCTTTCCTTCTCTTCTAGAAAGAGATATTTAAAAGTTTGTATTACTGTTAAAACTTAAGTTTTGACAAGTTACATACTTTTTTTTTTGGTTTGGGGCAGATGCTCGTATCTGATATACAGTGAGTAATAACTTAAAATGTGTGTTTGTTCTTGTCAGTGAATATCCTTGTTTTATCTCACCATGTTAGAAAAGTTTGTTTTAATTGATTTTTTGGGGGTGGGGGGAGCCCAGTGAACTGGCTTATCATGGAGTGAAACTGGCTTTCAGCATCAGCTCTATTTTAAATAACATCCCTGTTCATTAAATAACTCCCTAATTTTTCTGAGTGTATAAAATTTCCAATGACAAGATTTGATTTTTTAATTTTTAAAAAAGCGTTCACAAAGAACTTTTCTGTATTATCTATATTATTTGATACTATAGAGCCATTTTGGCATCTTGGCAGTTGGTTCTTCTACCAGAGCTATGCGTCTTCTGGATTTTTCACAAAAGCTTTTGCATGTGCATAAAATGTTACGGACATGTATGGTTAAGGCTTACATCTTGGCATCCATGTATTTGGGTAAAAAGATGCCGGAGGCCAGTCATGGTGGCTCATGCCTGTAATCTCAGCACTTTGGGAGGCCGGGGTGGGCGGATCACTTGAGGCCAGGAGTTCGAGACCAGCCTGGGCAACATGGTGAAACCCTGTCTCAAAAAAAAAAAAAAAAAAAGCCAGGCGTGTTAGTGCGGCCTGTAGTCCAGGAGGCTGAGGTGGGAGGATCACTTGAGCCTGGGAGGTGGGGGTTGCCGTAAGCTGAGATTGTGCCACTGCACTCCAGCCTAGGTGACAGAGCGGGCACTGTCTCAAAAAACAAAAAAAAACTTGTAACATCTATCTGTCTGCTCGCTATCCAGTTATAGACAGCAGTTGAGGCAGCTTGATACTGTGGAAAGATCCCCTGCCCATGAAACCGTGAACAGAGGCTCCAGAGTCTGGCTGATCTGATTCTCAATAGGTTCTGTTGACTGTGTGACTTTAGGCACAGTGATTTCACCAAACATCAGTTTCCTCATCTGTAAAATGAGGTTGATAGTAATTAGC